TTTTCTTAATATCCTTTTAAAGGAAAAATAATTATGGTGGGTCACCCTTATCACTCAGGGGTATAAAAAATATACGAAAAACTATTTTCATACCTACCGAATATACACAAAAAATTTCATATAAATCGGTCAAGTCGTTTCGGAGAATAAGAATAACAAACACTGTGACAGGGGAATTTTATAGAGATAATATATATATATATACGTATGTATACTTACACATGGACATACAAAAGATTTCAGAATGAAACTCAATGAATCAGTTATGTTGAATGAAACAGAATGAATCGTTTATGTTATCCTACATATTTCAAATAATATAAAAATCATTGTAAACCTGTTACTTTATAAATATTTATCTACTCCTCTACAAATAAAAATAGATAGAATTTTTTTGAACAGGTAGACAAACAGGTTGGTAGACACGTACTCGACTGATTTCAAAGCCTTTGAGCGGTTGCCAATACGGTTAACAGACTTGATATCGTTTTTATATACGTGTAAGGAATAATATATGAGGAAATGCAACGAAGCCATGTATAATAAACGTCTATCGGTGTTGCTCGTAAATGATAGATATCAGAAATCGGATGTTCTGATTGAACACAGTGACGATGAGTAACACCGTTTGGACGACGATATGCTGGCCATGAGCTTGACAGATCTGCTGGCTGATCGATATTTACTAGCAACGGCCATTGTTGCGAATTCCTCTCACTCTATCTCTCTCTCTCTCCTTCTCATTTCATCTAATGCTAGGTTTCATTGTCAAACAGCATTGTTCTCTTTCATTGTCTTTCAATATCTTGACGTCAATTCCTTCGTATTATTCAAAATTGTTTCCATCCTATGCATTCATCGAAAATACCGATATTTCCGATTCTCCTAAGTATTTCTATCTCTCTCTTTTTTTTCTAACCTTTTCAGGGACGATTTTTTTATGACCAGAAGAAAATGATTTAATGTTTTTTACTTTTTTTATAACTGTACATTGGAAATAACCAGTACTAGTGCAGTAAAACCAAAAAATGTTTATTTCTCTGTTTGAATTATTATATTTTCGTTCTATTTGTTATATGGAGGGTAGAGGTAAGGAGTAACATCTCTTATAGGAGAAAATGTGAAAAAGTGTCCAGCGTTTTTTATAAATAATAGTTCAAAAACCTTCCAGAATAGCGCTGGTGTAGACAAAAGGTATGGTGTGAATGTAACAATTGTAAACGAATTGAAGTATGCCGAGTTATGTAATAATGTAGTAAATATAACCTTAAAGAATTATTATGAGAAAACGTGTAACTAGAGTGATTTTATTTCGTGAACTGTGAATAGTACGTTTATTGATTTTTTATCATTTAATTTTATAAAAAAGTATGTGAATAATAAAACAGTTATGAGTTAAATTTTTGTTGTGAAATGTGTGTTCTTTGTTTATTTCTCAATCCTACTCTAATAATATTTGGCGCTTCCTTTAAAATTTACCCTGAAGCTACTGTGGCGCCACCCTAATTGAATGCATTTCGACGGACACTTTTCATATACAGAGATGTTACTCCTTACCTCTACCCTCTATAATTTGTTATTAACACATTGCATATGGCACACTGTTCCTGGGACCGCACATTTTTGGGTTTACTTCTATATCTAATAACATTACTAAATTCAAGAATTTCGTTATTAACACTGAGTTCATTTTTCATCTGCAGTATTATTTGATTCATCTGATAAATCATCAAACAACAATTCACATTGATTTTTATTTTCTTTACTTGTATTCGTCATTTTACTACCATTTTAGAATTAAAGCCTATTTCATCAAATAATTCTAATTTTTCTATTATCGTTTACAAGACTATAAATATAAATGATTTTTAAAAAGCTAKTTCCTTATAAAGTAAAACGCGATTTTTGAAATAACAAAATGATGTACAACAATAAAACACTTTATAAGATACGACAAAAGAGCTATTGTTGCAATAGCTGTAATGACCCACTGATTAATGTTAGMATTAATTTTTTTCATTAATTAGATGTTAGGAGAATACGCGAGACTCTGTTAACCCGGTAACGTACTAAGAAAATCAAATTTTGATTCCTTAAATCATTGAGTAAATCGAAAAAACATGAAAACGAGATATCTCGTGACTCGTACSCAATGTGTTATTATAGTCATTGTAAAAATTAGTGTCACTATTAATGATAATGAAAGTATGAGAAAAATAATTCGGAAAAGGGAAATTTCTCTTCGATTAGTTTCTTACTAATCCATCCAAGTAACTTATCGATCGCTAATTGGTTAAAAAAAAAAGGAATAGCAATGAATAGTTAAAGAAAAAATATTTGTCTTACTTGGTAAAATAGAATGTGATCCTTTGATAAAACGTCAAGGAGGAGTAAAAAGTCGGCATTTCAAGATCCAATAAATCGGCAAATAGCAATAGCATTGTTTCAAAGCTCGGAGTTATTAAAAAGTAACGATGTCCTTGGATGATGCATCTTAACATATGTTCATATTCTGGGTTAACTCGTCGTAAAGCAGGCTTGACCATTTCATCGATATAATCTTGACAGCGCTTTCTTATCTCTTCCAAATTACCACAACACATATTAATTCTTGGTAACAAAACAAAAAAATAAAAACTAATTAAACTAAAATTTTTTTTTTCAAATGAAAAGTAAAATTAAAATTAAAAAAAAAGTGGTATTCTAATAAACTTATACGGATGAATAATTTTAATAAGAGAAAATCTCATGAGTTCAAATATTCAAGATCTGTTCATTTTTGTTCAAACAATGAATTATAAAATCAGAAAGTGGAAACAATCTGCAAATAATGTATTATTACGCGTTATAAGGATTTTTGGTTTACCTCCAATCCAAAAAAACTCATTATTGTCAGAAATAAACTTGGTATTAGAAAGTAATCATGTAATACGTCTAATATTAGTTTAATGTCGGGTTAATTCAATATGATAACATGAAAAACACAAATCATGAAAACAAGATATCTTGTGACTCGTTCACAACGTTCGTTTTGCTAAAGACAAAATATCTCGTCAACCGTACGCAATATGTTAACAGTAATTATAATAATAAAAAAACTAAACGTTCACGTATGAGACTAACCACTTATCACGGACGAATTTTTTGGTTTCTCTTAAAAATTAAAAAAAATTTCTAATGGAAAAATCGTGTTTCTCTCTCTCTCTCTCTCTCTCTCTCTCTCTTAGCAATCTTTAGTAGTTGAATTTGAAAGTTATTAAAGTCACGTTTGAAAAGTTGCGAAGTATTTCTAGGAAGAGTTAATGAATTTTCTTCTGAAAAGGTATATATATATATATTTGCGAATAAGTTGTTTTTTTTTTCAACAACGTTGAAGTACGAAAAGGGTGGGAGGGAGGAGACGTTTTTAAAAGTCGAGAAGAGAAAATTTATCGAAAAAGTTTATGAATATTGTTTGACGTGTTGAGAGAGTGAGCAATTTATGTCCGACGCAAATATTAATGATGCAGTTTTTAAAACAAAGATCTTTTTAGGGCTAAATGAGTAATTAGAGTAAATAACGTCGAAAACTATGAGAATGCCGTGTAATATTTAACAGGGGTAGGAGGTAGGTGTGGAGTGAAAAATAAAGGGAGGATACCGTTTTTCTCTCATGAATGACTAAATTTTAAAAAGAGAAATTAACTCTTTTCTTTTTTTTCTTCTTCTTCTTCTTCTTCTTCTTCTTTCTTCGACGCATTGAAATTCAAATTAAACGCTTCATTTGCGAATGCAATCCTGTAGTAATATCTTTTATTACTTTTTTTTTCAAGCAGGTAATATTGAATATTTGAGAAGCGTTATTAATAATAAAAAAAAAAACAATTCATCCGAAGATTTCTACGAATATTATCGTTCTGATAAACGGTCCAGTTACTTTAGCCGATATTTCGATATTTTTCGTTTCTCGCACAAATAAATAAAAAACACGCCATCGGATATTGCTTTCTTTATGATATCTTTTTACGAGCATCGCATCCCTGTTGTGTACAAATAAAAAAAAGCATTTATTCTTTGCTCAATTGCGAAATGTTGTACGATGTTTTTTCTCTCGAGTCAAAAGCAAACGTAAATACGTTGTAAATATACATGTTGTTGCTTTTTTACTTCTCTTCTTATTTTTTTTTCTTTTCTTAAGCTAAAACACTCAAAGAAAACACCTAACCAAAGTCTTTTCTTATCTTTACGAACAACAAACCAAGCACGTGTCTCTTAAATATTTCCAAATACATCTATACATTTACATATACATATGCATACTATTATTATTATTATTATTATTATTATTATTATTATTATTATTCACTCGCTGTGCCTTGCCACGCGTTACCGTGAATCATGTGAACCAAAATATGACGTTATCGTATAGAAAAAGGTTAGATAATGTTCAAATGTTTCGCTCACTCACAGAAATCTATAACCAATCGATAACACTGGATTTACCTGTATAATTTTCTTTTTTTTAAATTAATTATATATTTTATAAATAAATTAATGTAATAAAGACTTAACTGTATACAAATGCAACGTTGTGTCAAAATTTCAAGACAATCTGTAAAGTACTTTTGAAGATTATCGATTAAGCACAAACGAAATCTACATTTTTATATAGGTTTGGTTTTCAGATCAAAATAACAATTTTTCATTTCAAAATAACAATTTAAAAAAACAAAAATAAAATAATGAATGATAATTTATTGAACTAAGATTAAAAATCAATGCAAAATAGCCATTTAAGAGTTATCTTCAAAATTTTCAATGCATTAAAAATTGACGTAGTACTAAGATTTACATTTTTCTTTTTCTGAAGTTCACTTTTAATATTTTTTAATGTAATTGCTGGATTGTGTTCTATTATTAATTCATTATAGTTTAAAATTTCGTCAGTCAGTTTGAAATATTCTTTTATCACCACGTTTTTTGTTTAAAACAACACCACCATCATTTTTGTAACGTCTCAATACATTATAAGCTGTATTTTTATTAATACTTGATATTTGCGCTACTTTGGCTATTGTTTTACCTTTCTCATATAGTTTTATTAAAATTTCTTTTGTTTTCTTAGCCTATCTTGTTGTTTACTGTTGAAATATGATTTCTTTTCCGTTCAACAACTAAATTTTTCACATTTTTATGGAATCATCATCATGGTATCAAAATCATTATTTGATTCCACAATTCTACCATAATTTGATCTCGTTGAGGAAGTATTGCTCAAGTTACTGTTTAATTCATTGTGAACATTGTCCATTTTGTTAAGGGGTGAATCACCCCCATTAGATCTAACCAACTGGAGAATTCAGTAACCAATAGTAAATACCGATGATATCGATGATAAATAGTTATCATTGGTACAAGCCCATTGATTGACAACGTATATAAATATATGTTTATCTTATGAAGATGTCTTTTTCTAATTTTGTTTAATTAAATTCCAAAAATACTGACAGATGTGTAGCGGACGTAAATCCAATGCATTTTTTATAAAATTGATTTATTTTTAAAGATTATTATTTTCTAAATTTAATTCCATAAATACTGTTTTAAATATGATTGCACATAACTTTAAAAAAAAAAAGCATAGCACATTATTAGTGAATTAGTTTTAAAAATTATCATTCATTATTTTACTTCTAATTGCTTTTTTTAATTGTTATTTTGAAATGAAAAATTATTGTTTTTACCTGAAAAAACATAAATATCTGTTTCTATCTATGGCTATCGCATTCGGCATTCTATCTTAATTGATACAATTTGGAAAGTGATAGTTTTTGTCAGCTACCCCCATCCCAAGGTCATACCGGTGCCTTTTGATATATATGGTAGCAATATTATAATAAATAAATTGTTATTTTTTCTATTATTATTATTGTGAAGGTTAATCGCATTCCTAAATTAGAAAGTTTCTCGGACTGTCATTAACGACAAAAGGAAGACTAACGTTTGTATCTTTCCTTTTTACCAAAAAACCTTTTCCTTTTTTTTCATTTTCTATGGTAAAGAAAAAAAAGACAACAATATGTGTCGTCAGGATTAGGAATTAGGAATTTTTTGTAGCAGCTTTCCCTCATTATTTACGTTTCGAATAAATCACCAGGTATTCAAAATTCATTCAATTACTGTTGACTCTTTTCATAAACCTGAAATCCTATAAAAGGTACTTTCCAAAGAGTTTTATCATCAATTTTTTTTTAAAGCTAAACCACTTAAAGAAAGCACCTAACAAAAGTTTTTTCTTACCGTTACGAACAATAAAACAGGCACGTATCTCTTAAATATCTCTAAATAACTTCTTCTATACATTTGCATATACATATGGATATATACATGCATATGCATGAGCCAAATTTGCATCTAATCTACATTTATGTAATATTTCTTTCTATGATTCTTGCAGTATCCGGCAGAGGTGACAGCCAGGTTCTTCTTGGAGAAGTCGACATCGCGATTAAAGATGATCACTTAGGTGTCACCGAAATCACCACAGATGAGCCTTATTTGACAAAATGTATCGTCGATGGAAATGCCTATTCGCACAGTCAAACGGTACGAACATATTATTTTATTATATAAATTTTACGTAGAAAAATAAATGAAGTTTTCATCTATTAACACACTATCGTTGGGTAACGTCGTGAGCTTGATTCACGTGTATAGCGGGCGAAAATGAGTGAAATATGAAAACAGTGCACTTTTTAGAAAACATGTTATATCTTCACATCTAATAGTAGAATTTCAATGAAATTTGAAAAATAGGTATCAAATAGTATTTCGAATATGTAGAAAACTTAAACTCAGATTTATCAAAATCAATCAACTGAATTTATGCTACTTTGTAAGCACGAAACTTGCAGTGTCAAAATAGCACATTTCATCAAATTATTAATTTTTCTTAAAAATTAATAAATTTAAGATTAAACACTGGTCAGGCTTTATGAAAAACAACCAAAAACATCATTCCTGCTCAAAAATTAGTGATAATGAAAAAAAACAAGCATTAGTAAGTGTTTTATTGACACTTAGCTTACGTTCTGCATAAAACGTATTAACACGCGACCCGCCGACCAGCGTCAATCTGTAGAACGGGTAGAAATACCTGACCCGACGATAGGTGTGTTAACATTATGCCGTCCGCACGTTTAATTTATTTGTGTCGCGCCGGTAGAACTGACTTACATAATTTCTCTTATCGTCGGCAGTTTATAACTTAATTTTAATTAATTAATTATTATTTAATTAATAACCGCCAACGTGCGGTCATTAAAGTGTTAACTTTCGTTCTACAGTTTTGAATACCACAATACAGCCATCGACGCTTGTGCGATAATTTCAGAATGGCACCAACGTGGAACCACCAGATGTCATAGTGTTAACAATTTATAATATCAGTTAAAAAAGATCTTAACCAGTTAACTGTGACGCTCCCAGTTTTGAAAGTGCGCATCGTTGTGTGTAGCTTATCACTTTACCGACCGGTAGCGGTTCGAGAATTCTATGCAGCGATCCCATTCGTACGATAATTTTACGCCCCTGTGTCGATCAGACGAACTACAGTCTCTGGGATCACTGATCCTATGCCTCAGCCGCATATTGTCCGAGACACCGGCTCGGTTTCGGCTTAGACTGTTGCGCAGGAATATATGCGCTTTTCTTATGCTCTGGTAAAATCGTACGCTTTGCGTTATTATAGGATAACCAAATTGAATAAAATCTTTTATTTTAATGATATTAGTGCTAAACAATATTTATCGGTAAGCTCTGTGGAATAAAAGTCGATCAATCGACTACCGGTCGGTAAGCGCTGGGAACAAAAAGTCGATTAATCGACTGCCGGTCGGTAAAGTGTTAAATTGATCGATGACGAGTATATTCGTCAAGCACAGAGTATAAATGACGCTGTTAAAATATTGAATTAAAAAATAGTTTTATTTTATAAAATTGCAAATTTTATTATTAATATTTCTTTATTAGTCAATCAACTGTTGATTGGCTAATGTTAATAGTCCATCAATGCAAAAGGTTAATGTTTTTTTTAGTAAATGTGATAGGGAAAAGTATGCAACAAAGGATATTTATTTAGGATAAGAAAAATAGTTTCTCTTGGTAGGATCACATGTGTTTATTTTAGTAAGTCGATACCACTTGAAGGGCCTGGCCTGCCAGCCGAAGGTTTCTATCGTACCCGATACCTCTCGAGTAATATCTGGGTTTGTTTGCTAGTTTTTTATGGCCTTCAAGAATGGTCTATGATATTACCTCTGATCAATGGTGCTGGAAAATGTGATATAGGATTTATTCCCTTAATTGCGTCTTTACGCAGCAACATATTTCCAATAAATTATTGAAGTGAAAACTTCTTTAGAAAAACTTCTTTAGAATAAGGAGTGATTTGAAAAAAAATGAAACGCGGGTATTTCAGGCAACGGCAACGATATTTAGTAAGGAGAGAAGTAGAGACAAACATATAGGATTGAGCCTGCGAGAGAAAGAGACAGAATGTAGCTATATAGTTTTTCCTATTCTCGGTCTCCTCTCTATGCTCTGCTTCGTAGTATCGCTCCTGATTGTATATGTGTGTGTTTGTGTGCGACTGCATATTCTACGAAGTGTGGACACATATTATTTCCTATATATAAGGTCCTAACGAACCGTCGGTCGAAATAAAGAAAGAAGGTGTGAAGTCTGCTTTGTAAGTTGTATAAGTGTGTAAGTCTGTGTGAGTCTTGAAGGTATATATATACTTGTCATTTCTTTTCTATTTTTCTATTCTATTTTTCTATTTCTATTTAAAAATATTTCTATTTTATTGAAAAGTTTATATTAAATTTTTTATTTCGCAAATATTATCATTAATAATTATGAAATGTATAGAATATAATAATTGTATTGTCTGCAATATTTTACAAAAAAAAAAAAAATGATTACAAGATACATCAGAGAAAAAGAATTAGACCACATTGTAGAATATTTTTCTTATTAATATCCAAAGACATGTTTTTGAATTATAATGTTTGCGTATTTAGGAAATTTATACTAAATTTTCAATAAAATAGAAAAGCTTTTAAATAGAAGAAACTGGACACGCACGTGACACAAACAAATAAACCTTATTTGCTATTATATTTCCAATAAAAATACAATAATATAACTTATTTTAAAAGTATAGAAAAAAAAAAAATTTTTTTTAAATTGAAAAAATTGTGAATTAAAACAACGAAAATGAAAAATAGATTTTATAATCGTTGTAATTCAAAACCCGATAAAACGAAAAAAATGCGACCACAATTGTTCCCTTCTTTAACAGCATCTACAGGTATTAGTTGCAACACAAAAAGAAATACTTGTGTGTGCTAACCCATGATAAAGATATCTTAAATTTAAAGGAAGGGTGAAAAGAGTGAAAGAAACAATTCATCTATCTGAGTTTAATAAAAAAATATATTATATTTACTTAGGTTAGGACGGTGTACTTTTCTGTCGATAAATATTCTACAATTTTTGTTTTTATCTATGGCTATCGCATTCAGCATTCCATCTTGATGGATAGAATTTTGAAAATATTAGTTTTTGTAAGCTACCTACACCCCAAGGTAGGTTCCTTTTCATGAGAATAGAATTATAAAAAACAGGGAAGGTCTGCTGAAATTCGATCTATATTTATTATCCTTATTATCGATGCGATAATATTCATGTCTACAGTTTTTTTTTTTTTAAACGTGTCATATCTTTTCTATTTAAAACTGTTTCTATTTTATTAAAAAATTAATATTAAATTCTTTATTACGCAAATATTATAATTAATAATTATGAAATATATAGAATACTAGGGGTGCCCCGGCCACGCGTTGCTGTGACTAATAAATATATAGATAGATCTGAATCTACGCACATAACATTTGTCTTCTTTTTCTCTTTTTTCTTAAWATCGAACCAACTGCGCATGAGCGGTAACATAAGATCACCACTTACTTCACATCATATAATTTTACATTGTCTGAATATAGGCACATAACATTTGTCTTTTTTCTTAATATCCTTCTAAAGGAAAAATAATTATGGTGGGTCACCCTTATCACTCAGGGGTATAAGAAATATAAGAAAAACTATTCTCATACCTACCGAATATACACAAAAAATTTCATATAAATCGTTCAAGTCGTTTCGGAGAATAAGAATAACAAACACTGTGACAGGGGAATTTTATAGAGATAAAGATAATAATTGTATTGTCTGCAATATATATAAAAAAAAAATAATTACAAAATACATCAGAGAAAAAGAATTAGACAACACTGAAGGATACATGAGGAGTAGCTGACAAATTCCATTCAAAAGCAAGTAAATTACTGTCACATTTTTATTTTGCTTCTTTATAAAATATATTTGATTCATAAAGACAAAATATGTCTATTAAATTTGATTTTTATATGTTTTTATAAAAAATATCCAAAGACATGTCCTGACCCATGCATATATGAAAATTATATTATTAATTTTAATATTTGCGTATTTAAGAAAATTATACTAATTTTTCAATAAAATAAAAACATTTTTAAGATATTGAACGCCCAGCGTGAATCGGTGGAGCTTACCACGGGGCTGAAATTTGAGTTTCATAGTGTACACAGTTCGATAAGCTGAGAGAACGATACGGTTCAATGCATTTTTTAGATTTTTCGTTGTTCAGATCATTATTTAGACAAGAGTATTTAGAAAGATAAGTTTGTGGTCAAAAGAATAAAGACGAGATATGTTATAAATAATAAGGGTCTCGAAGTGTGGCAGGCTATAGAGTTGAAAAAAACATTTCTAGAGAATATCTCTATTAGATCTCTCATTGCATTTTACCAGAACCTTCGTTCAGTCCAGCAGTATTTTCCATATGTTTTTCGTAACGTTTTTATTTCGTTTATCCTAAAATGTTTATTAGCAGCGCAAGAATGTAGATGAAAACGGGAAATTGAAAACTATACTAACAAACAAAATTTTACTTCTGAGTTTCACAAAAAGGATATTTTATATTTACTTAGTTTACGACGAATTATATTTCCTTTAATAAACATCCTACGATTTTAGTGTTTATCTATGACTATCGCATTCAGCATTCCATTTTTATTGCTTGAATTTGGAAAAGTGTACTCTTTATCAGCTATTCTACCCAGAGACCATATCGGTGACCTTTATTATATATGGTAATAATATTATAATTAATAAATACTACAATTATCTTATTCTTGAAACTGTGCATTCGTCTTATTCTCTCGAAACATAAATTTTGGAAGGTTTCACTTCTAACACGTGTGATCTGCACTCATGTTTTTTTTTTTATTTAAATATTAAACACATGAATTCAAAGAAAGATAGTTAACGTCTTCAGAACATACATCTTCCATACCACAGTCGTTACTATCGTCATGAGAGAAAATCTCACACTTATTGCGCATGCGCCAAGAGCGAAATTTAAATTCTACGAAAATAATTTTAGGTTATATATCAAGTACAATACAATATCAAATATTATTTATTTAAATAATATAGAGGGCGAT